ACGACGTGATGATGATGATGCTGGTGATGATGGGTGCTGATGGTGAGTGATCGTGCGATTCTGATGGTAAATGGTGGTGATGATGATGGGGACGAAGTGGTGGGTCAGCGAGTAGTGATGATGATGATGATGATGATGATGATGAAGATGATGATGATGATGATCGTTCGATGCCGATGATGGTGAGTGATCGTGCGATGCTGATGGTGATGCTGATGGTGATGATGATGATGATGATGAGTGGGGAGTGATGGTGATGGTGATGATGATGCGGAGGAGGAAGCAAAGAGGAGCAGAGGAGAGGGAGGAGGACGAGAGATCCTGCGCGGAGGGTGTGCAGAGAAAACAAGAAGCCCACTTAGGATGTGTGGAATTATTATCCATAAGGGCTTCGCCCGCTGCCGCCGGCCTGCTCTCTCGGAGAATGTCTTATGCAAGAGCTATGTCATGAGGCCTGGGCGCTGTCGTGAAGCAGTATCGGAACTTCATGCGAGGCCGACTCGTAATGGGGTTTGTTACACCTGGCGATTGGTAAGACGTCGTGACCCTGCCGATCTGCGTGAGGGGTGCCACCGAATTGGCGAGTCCCTGATGTTTTTGGACCATGACCCTACGGATCCGCGTGAGGGGTGCCACCGAATTTCAGAAATGTTGAGAATCCCCTGGGTTTTCGGACTCTGACCACGCCGATCTGCGTGAGGGGTGCCATCGAATTTTAGAAATGTGGCAAATCCCATGCGTTTTTGGACCCTGACCCCGCCGATCTGCGTGAGGGGTGCCACCGAATTTCAGTGTGGCAAATCCCATGAGTTTTTGGACCCTGACCCCGCCGATCTGCGTAAGGGGTGCCAGCGAATTTCAGAAATGTGGCAAATCCTTTGTGTTTTTGCGCCCTGACCCCGCCGATCTGCGTGAGGGGTGCCACCGAATGTCAGACATGTGGCAAGTCCGTAGTGTTTTTGGACCCTGACCCCGCCGATTTGCGTGAGGGGTGTCATCGAATTTTTGACATGTGGCAAATCCCTTGAGTTTTTGGACCCTGACCCCGCCGATCTGCGTGAGGGGTGCCACCGGATTTCAGAAATATGGCAAATCCCATCCACAAGGAACAGTAAGCAGCAAGAACCATAACTGTAACAGTGGAAACTGGAAGCCGCAACTGGTACAGGAAACTGCGAAGCTTCGGCCTACAGCCTGATGGCCCCACAAGGGGGCCCTCGGATTACGACTACTACTGCCACTACAACTCCTTAGTATTACAACAGCAACTACCACTACTATTACTGCAACTACATCAAAACTACTACTAGCTTTTATTAGTAGTATATTCTTGGGATATTAATTCTCAAACTAATACTTGTACGAAGGCCCATACTGATAATATTCATATCAATACTGATACTCAAACCAATGCGAAGGATAACACCACACCTAAATCTATGATTAATATCATTACTAACACTATTACGGCGACGACTACTACTAATATAGTTACTAATGAGAAAATTGATTACGACTACAACTGGGAGTACGACTGCGACAAAGACTATGACTACCACTACCACTACGACGACAACTACAACTATCACTACAACATCTACTACTCCGTCTACATTTCTAGTATTATAGGTATCATTCTGGCTACTACTGCTACCTATTACTACTACTACTACTACTGCTAGTAGTAGTAGTAGTAGTAGTAATAATAGTAGTAGTAGTAGTACTAGTAGTAGTAGTAGTAGTAGTAGTAGTAGTAGTAGTAGTACTACTACTACTAATACTACTACTACAACTACTACTACTACTAGTACTAGTACTAGTACTAGTACTCGTACTAATTCTACTGCTGGTATCCGTATTATTTCTACTACCACGTTACTACTGCTACTACTCTTACTACTACTACTACCACTACTACTACCACTACTACTACCACTACTACTACTACTACTACTACTACTACTACTATTACTAGTGCTGCTGCTGCTACTACAACTACTACTACTAGTGCTGCTACTACTACTACTACTACTGTTACTACTGTTACTACTGTTACTACTGTTACTACTGTTACTACTGTTACTACTACTACTACTACTACTACTACTACTACTACTACTACTACTACTACTACTACTACTACTACTACTACTACTACTACTACTACTACTACTACTAGTACTACTAGTACTAGTACTAGTACTAGTACTAGTACTAGTACTAGTTCTAGTAGTACTACTACGACTACTATTTCAACAGCAACAACGACTACTACCACTACTACGAAAACAATAATAACAGTTATTAGGGTAGTCGTATCATAGTATTCATAATAAACATAGGAATCATATACATAATAATGTGAAGAGGCGGAGGAGGAGGAGGAGGAGGAGGAGGAACAGGCAGCAACACGGGCAATGACCTCTTCTTGCGTTTGTTCCTACTTGCCCACCAGAGCATTCGAGGTCCGCTACCACGTGGGGCGGTCCCAAGAAGGGTCTGGCCTTCGAGGATCGAAGGACTTGGCATCTCTTCCTCGGCGGAAGGCGGACGCCCCCGCTGGCGGAAGCCGGCGGAAGGCCAGCGGAAGTAAAAGATGCGCTCCCAAGAGATGGCAGCATTTCTGGGTTCAGGGTTTCCTGAATCCGCCGCACAGCATTTGCTCCAGAGGTGAATGTATTGATATCGTCTTCGCCGAATTTGGAGATACGGCCGAGAGAGATCCCGCCGTGGCTCTCATCCGAAATGGTGCTTTGCAGCGTGGTGGAAAAAGCACCGCCGAGGGAGCCAGGTGCCCCAGGACCCGAGGCAGCAGCGGACCCAGGCATCTTTGGCCCCCACCCCAGGGCCCGAATCTATCCACATCCGCTGCCTCCTCGGGTCCCGGGACATCGTTTCCAGAGGCGGTGGACGTATTGAAACTCCTGCCCAGAGAACAGCAGTGGTCCAAGGCGGGGATTCGTCCATCACCACCGCATGAGGGATTGATCTCACAGGACCTCGGCTGGCAGTGGACATGGATATGGTGTGGCCCAAGGGGCTCCCACTATATCCGTATCCGTTCTCCCCTGGGGTCCCAGGGCGTCGGCTCCCCTGGCGGTGGATAGGGCTATCTCTTCCTCTCGCAAGTGGGCAAACTGGCGTCCGCGCACTTCTGGCCCGGCGGAGTCGGGAAACGTATGCGAGGCGCTTGCGTTTCTTTGATGCCGATGCGCCGTCCAGGCGCCAGGGAGGAGGAGGAGGAGGAGGAGAAGGAGAAATGATGAGGTTCAACGATGGTTCGAGGAGGATGAGGAGTGGGCGTATGATGATGATGATGCTGATGGTGATGATGATGCTGATCATGATGGTGATGGTGATGGTGATGGTGATGATGACTATGATGATGATGATGATGATGATGATGATGATGATGATGATGATGATGATGACGAGGATGGTGATGATGTTGGTGATCATGATGGTGATGATGGTGATGGTGATGGTGATGACGATGATGGCGACTACGACGATGGTGATGGTGACGATGATGATTACTTCGATCAGGTTGCTGCTGATGATAATGATGATGATGATGATGATGATGATGATGATGATGATGATGATGATGATGGTGATGGGACTGATCATGATGATGATACTGCTTCTGCTGCTGCTGCTGAAGACGATGATGATGATGATGATGATGATGATGATGATGATGATGATGATGATGATGATGACGATGACGATGGCGATGACGATGACGATGACGATGACGATGGTGGTGGTGGTGAGGAGGAGGAGGAGGAGGAGGAGGAAGAGGGCAGTTTTTTTTCTCCCCGCTCCCCTTGCGAAGAGGCCCGTGGCGGGGGCACCGAAGGCTTTAGGCATCGATCAAGACAGTCCGCATCGCATGGGGCGCATAGAAGGTGGAAGAGGGAACGAAGGCGAGAAGCAAGTAAGGAAGGATTGAAGAGGATGGCCTTATAGAGGCTTCTAGGGTCTTGAAGAGTTTTTGGGGAATCTGAGGGTGTTGAGGGGGTTGGGGTAAGAAGAGGAGGCGAGGGCGCAGAGACGAGGCAGGGAGGCAGGGAGGTTGGCGGGAGGGCGGGAGGGAGGAAGGGAGAACATATGATGCGGAAGGTCAGGAGGTGGCTGAGTAGGATAATGAGGATGATGAACCATATGATGATGCTGCTGATGATGATGCTGATGATGATGATGCTGCTGCTGAGCTGATGATGATGGACACCTGGCAGACGGAGCCATCTTAGGGACGGCCCCCTCGCTTCGTTCCAAGACTTTGGCAGGCGGCTGAAGGGGGGGAGCCTCGAGGGGGGGGAGCCTCGAGGGGGGGGGGGGGAAGCCTCGAGGGGAGCTTCTGGATGGGGGGGGGAGCCTGGGGGTGAGGTAGCCTTTGGAGGGGAGTAGCTTGGAGGGAGCGGGCCGGGGGAGTCTTCGAAGGAAGCTTCGAGGGGGGAGGGAGCTTCGAAGGGCCGCCTCGGGAGGGGGGGGAGCCTCGAGGGTGGGGGGGGGAGCCTCGAGGGGAGCCCTCGAGGGGGGGGGGGTATACTCGACGGGGAGCCTCGAGGGGGGGGGGAGCATCGGGGGGGCGGGAGCCTCGAGGGAGCCTCGAGGCGGGGAGGGGGGGGGGGGAGCCTCGAGGGGGGGGGAGCTTGGAGAGGCGAGCTTCGAGGGGGAGGGGAGCTCCAAGGGGGAGCCTCGAGGGGGGGCGGGGATCCTCGAGGGGGGGGATCTTCCTGGAAGAGATCGGTCTGGCCGCCCCCGAAAGCATTCCTTCCCCGCCTGCGTCCCCGCAGATCCGACGCCCCGACAAAAATCGGAGCGGCGGGTTTGGGACCATTTTCGGCCTCCTGGGGCCCTCGCTGGGCATGGGGACCGTCAAAAAGCGACGCAGGACGAGAAACTGGCCCCGGGGAAGTGGTCCAGGCCTCTGCGGCCCACGCATCAACAAGAATTGGAGCGGCAGGACGTCTGGGTCATCAGTCTCCCTCCAG